TGTGTGTGTGTAGATATCCATGTACGTGTATATACACATATGTTTGTGTATGGGATAGCCCCCGCGGGATGTGCACGTTAACTCCGGCCCCCTGGTTTCTCCCCCAGCGCTGGAGGGGACGGACAGGACGGCGGCGGGCGAGGGCACAGGGCGGGAAAAAAAGAGATGGCGACAGGCGCAGACGTGCGGGACATCCTGGAGCTGGGCGGCGTGGAGTCGGAGAACACGGGCACCATCAACAAAAAGGATATCATTAACTCGGATAAGGTGAACTGCCATGCCCTGAGGGGCTCCTGCTTGTTTTCTAGGCACTGACTGACCTTGCATGTAGTGTCTGGGGTGAATATTGGGAAAAAAAGATGTAATAAAGCATGTTCCTACCGTAGTCTGTTTATTTTCAGGCATACTAGGAGCATCTGGAAATGCCTGGAGGGCCCCACTCCTGGGTTCCTGGTGTTATTAGTTAACTGTGCTGTGGCATTTGGGGTGGTATTTAAGATGGAGCTGTGTAAGTGGCGTCCTGGTGAGCTGGGCCTGGCCCCAGGACATTTTCAGCTGTCTCTAAAATTCCCATTTTGTGGAGTTAGTGTGAAGTGCGTTTAACATCCAGCCCCAAAGCAGATGGAAGTAATATAAAGCAGTTCTGTTCTAGAAGAAAAAAACATTTTCTGCCTTGGTTGAATGGTAGATGTGTTCAAACCATGGGGGCAGTTCCCATGAGGGGGAGGTGTGTGACTGGGGTTTGGGAGAACTGGGATGTGTTGCCTGTGGGAATGTGGGCAAGTTAGTAAGCTCTGTTAATGATGTATGCTGTCATGTGCTGCATTCCATGTGATACTATGCTACGGTATGTTGTTGCCTTTTGTATTTTAAGATCGGGCAACGTCTTGGCTGTCCCATGCTTTGCAAGGCATTGGGAAGGTCAATTCAGAAGTATTTACAAGATGTGGAGGTGCTTGGAAATGAGCCAGGGAAGACTGAAATCACCAGGAGCGCTCTGGTACAGAGATGGTCTGATTTGAAGTAAAGCCTGTGTATTTGGAAAAAAACCCAAACCAAACATATGCAACCACCCCATCCCTGAAAGTACTTCCTGACTTTGTGTCCACTGAAATGTTTGTCTCTGAAGAGGAGCACAGTGGTTTCATGACTGCCTTGCTGGGGATAGGACACATAGTATAATTGGTGTAATGGAAAACTGACGAGTTTCAGTAATTTAAAGGCTGAAGTGTTAAAATCACCAGTTATCAGCTGTATTGGTGAATAGTGTGTCTGGTGAGCAGCTCCTTGGCTGGATTCAGCCTGCGATGTTGTGCCACTGAGTGTTTGGAGTTGCGAGTTCTTTGATGTAGATGCGTTTGTCTGTTAGCTAGCAGAGAGCTGAATGACTCCTGGTGACTGGCTGTCTCTCTTTCGGAGCAGAGAATAAGATGGGTTTCTCCTCAAATTTACTGTAATGAAAAGAGAGAGGAAGGGGAGATGCAGTGAGAGGTTTCGGGAGGAGTGCAGAAGTGCAGCCGTGAGTGAAACATTCTGAATTTCTACAAAGTACAGAAACTAAATCAAACCAAAGGTATAAGCCATTATCGTGTGGAGAGTGCAAAATTTCTAATAACAGTGTGGCACTTGCTCAGGAAATAGATCTGTTCTCAATTAAAAAAGAAGCAGATTGATGTCTTTAAATCACAAGAGAACCGTGAAGTACTTTTCAGTCCATTAGTGACTGAGAATGTTAAAATAAAAATTACTAGGCATAAAAACATTTAAATCAGCAGGACCAAGTAATTTGTTCTCAACTCCTAAAAGAGCTGCCTGAGCTGATCTCTGGCCTGCTGATATTAACTTTTAATAAATCTGGGAACTCTGGGGGAATTCCAGAAGGCTGTGTTCAAACAGGGTGTGTGGTGACCCATGGGTAACTGCCTCGATTGGCCTTACATCGCTCCTGGGCAAAGTGATGGACACTCTAGGAGAAAGGTGTTTGATTAGGAGTGAAAAGGTGCTAATATAATGAATGTCTGTCATGAAGTTTTATGGAAAGTAGTTGTAGTGCAAGCAGATAGATTATTATTTTTTTAATGGGATTTTGAATTTGCTTGATAAAGGTGACTGTATGGTTTTAATAAAATTTATGATACAGTGTTACTTTTACTACTGCAAAATATTCTGATTTAAAAGTTGGTAGCAATATGGCAAACAAGTAGTTGAAAGTGGTGACATGGCTAGTAGTTCCAAAGATGGTACAGTTAGACCAAATGCTCTGGACTACTCAGTAAACTTGGCCCACTTAAAGTGTACCTTGTTAATGTGGCTGTTACTATATCTACCTGAATCCAAAGCTGACTACTTTATAAACTTGTATAGGTGATATGAGGTGGACTGTGTCTTGGAAACCATCAGTTATAACAAGGTTTTAGGGGCCAGATTGAGTCATCTACACTGAATTCCTAGTATGAAGAAACTACATTAAAAAAAAAAATTCTTTGCTGTATAAATGGGAGAGTGGAGGCGGGAACGGGGGTTTACTTTTCTAGGTGATACCAGTAGTTTTGACATGGGGCTACTGTAAGTGCTTGATCACAGCTGGTAAAAACTGAAGTTGCTGCAGAACAAAGTGACAAAAACTGAGAGGGTGCGAAAACAATAAGAAATATCTTCTCTAAAATGTAGAGAATCACTTAAATGCATTAATACCTTCATGTGAGGACAGTGCTTACCTAGTAAAAAAAGTCTTAGTGCACCAGCCCCAGAAAGCTACAGCCAGATGTTCAGCTTGGAATTTAAGTGTGCGTTATCAGCAACAGCAAGTGTCTGAGTACTGGTGAGTGCTATCACTGAAAGTGGGCACATTTTGTCTGTCAGTGTCTTCCACCAGGCACAGACACTTTCCTGGAGAAATTCAAGGTGTCCAAAACCAGATAAAAGTGAAAACCATTTCAGGGCACCAGGTTATGTAGCTTAGTGTTCCCTCAGGGACTGCTACTTTTGAATCTAAAATGCAATTCTTTTTTTCAGAAAAAATCCAAGAAATCTTCAGAGACATTGACGTTTAAGAGGCCAGAAGGAATGCACCGAGAAGTTTATGCACTCCTCTACTCTGACAAAAAGTAAGAGCTTATGGTCATCTGTGCAAGTTGTGGGGTGCCCTGGGCTTTTGGTGGCAGGGCAGCATCCTTTTGAAACCACAGGCAGTCTCACTTCCCAGGTTGATTCCCCTTTGTGCTTGGCCCATGCTTGTGCCCTTCTCTCGTAGGTAGTCATGGACAGTGTCTGTCTTCTCTCTTCTAAATTTGGGGGGTTTGCTCTGTGTAAGAGATGAATTAGGTACAGGCACAATAGTCTAGTGCAGACAAGGCAGTGTTCTTACCCTTCTATGTCTAATTCTCTTTTATTTGCAACTGGGAATAGCACCTGCTTTTATTTCTGCAAAAAGAGTTCTGCTGCAGCCTGTACTTAGCTTGTTATGGATTGTGCCCTTGCCCCAGAGGTCTCTTGCATAGTTTGCTTTCCAGACGGTTCTGTTCAAACCTATCTGTGCTGTGTATTCTGCCCTTTGATGTGGGAAGCATTGCAGTCTGGGAAGTCCAAAACCTGAAATAAAGCTTAAACTCAGATTTTCCCACCCTAAACACTGTGGTGGCAGATCCCACTCTGAGTCTGAAATCTCTTTGGGTTTGTCCTGGGCTGCTTCTTGCTTCTTGTCAGCCAGTGCTTTTCTCCACCACAGGGATGCACCTCCACTGCTGCCAAGTGATACAACTCAGGGTTATCGAACAGTCAAAGCAAAACTGGGGTCCAAGAAAGTCCGGCCTTGGAAGTGGATGCCTTTCACCAACCCAGCGAGAAAAGATGGAGCGATGTTCTACCACTGGAGGAGGGCAGCAGAGGAAGGGAAGGACTACCCTTTTGCCAGGTTCAATAAAGTAAGTGGGAGCACTTTCAAACAAAAGCATATAAATACTAGCTGGAAAATACCCTTCAGTCAGCTTCTTGAATGTCCAGACAGGAAGTTGGTTCTTTCAACACGTGAAGGCTGAGTTAGATTTGGCAATTGCATTTTAAATTGCAGCATGGCCTGCAGCAGACTATAATGTCTTCAAATCATTCAAGCTAAGTGGGCTCAGTATGTGGTCAGAGCTTGCTAGAGCCCCCTGTGTTCAAGGTGTGCAGTCATTGGTTTGGTCAGGAGGCAGTCTGCCATCTAATTCAGTTCCTAACCAACATCTTCCCCCTGATTACAGGCTCTGAGTAGTAAAAGATATTCTATTCTGAGTAAGACATTAAAGTCATAAGTCTTGTTATTTTGTCCAGTATGAAAAAAATCGCTTGAGCTTCGTGGCCAAAAAGCTGGCTCGCAGCCTCTTGGCTGGATTCCAGTACAGATGCTGAATTACGTTGTGTTCCCTCTGAAATTGCTGCTGTGGTGTCAGTGTGGTGCAGTACCCTGTTCTTTGCGTCTTATATTAAATTGTCACAATGTGTTGTTGTAATCTCCTGCTGTCTTTTGTCCCAGATGTATCTGCTTTGAGTGGTTGGGGCTTTCATGTGTATGCAAAAAGAAAACTACGTCAAGATTTATACTTCAAAGTCAGGACCTCCAAAGTTAGGAAGGAGCAGAGTTAGGGTGCCTCCATAATGTAATTTAACCCCCTTCCTGATGCAAATTTGAAGGGGGGGAAAAAAAGTGTGTGCTAACATGGTTCCACAAAAGCTCTGCTTGCATGTGACTGTATACAACATTTAAAGTTTGTAACCCACAGAGCATCAGCTCTAACAAAGCCTGGCTTCCTGCAGAGTTAAGTGGTTGGTTGACCTTATATGTTAGAAGGCTCAAGCTCTGACTGATGCTTTTCCTCTTGCTGGAACATTGGTAAGAGCCTCCTGTGGTATCTCTTCTCTGATGTCTAGGGTGGAAGTCTGAAGCATGACTCAGTCGAGGCACCTACCTAGCTGTCTGAGTGAAACTTTGGGAGTGTAATTGTCTTGAAGACTCTACTGCTGTAGCAGGTTTTGGCTGAGTTCAACCGAGTTTATCAGAGGGGGCCACACATGGGTGTTGTAATTGTATGATTCTTGTTTCCTTAACTTTATCATGTACTGTGAATTGACAGACAGAAGAGCCTTCAGCAAGGCTGCAACCTTTAGATTAGTGGTACAGACCTCTGCCATCTGCACATGCACAATTATATAATATTAGGAGCGAGCTGTTACCCTTGTGGATCTGTGGTTGAGAGGGTGGAAGGCACTGATGATACTGGTTTGCAGATGTTTGCTATGTCAGAGGACTTACTTTTCCAGACTCTTGTGTGGGTTTCTTCTCACATGCTTAATGCCTCTGCCCAAATCTCTCACTCCCCTTGGCCTGAGCACATTTTCCCATGTAGGTGGTCCTGCTGGTCGCTCGAGCTCTTTAACCCGGCTCCTGTGTTACTGCTCAGTTGCTTTGCCTTTTCTCTGTGCTTCCAGTCTCCAAACCAAATCCCTCCTCTTCATTGTGAGATCCAAAATGTAAACTTAGGTTTCACAGTGTACACTGAGCCTTGATCCAGAGTGTGAAATAGGAATATAAAAGCAGCTTCGGTGGTGTCAGAGCAACAGCCTCTCTCAGCTGATACTCTGTTTCTGGCTACCGTTAGTAAAGGCTTAGAGAAAGAGCATGAAAATGAGGCAAATATGGAGCATTTTTGGTGTTTGGTTTAAGGATTTCTTGACTTGGAATTTGTGTTTAATAATTCTTGCATGTTTAGGGCAGAAAGCTGCTTTGTGAATATCTCCTGGTAATGAGTTCTTCAGGTTAATTTTGTATGGTGTGCAAAGGTGCTTTCTTCTGTTCATTTTATACTGCTGCCTTGGGGTTTCATTTGGTGCCTCTGAGATCTTGTGTTACACGACATAGCAAATTGTCCTTGCTATGTACTGTGTTTTCTGTAATTTGATGTACATCTGCCCTTCTGCGCCCTGTCTCATCCTTTTGTTCTCAAATATCTTTTTGTTGAGACAGGTGGACTAGGAGTGAGTGTTTCACTTAGGGAAGCATGGCGGGTTTGTACATTGTACTGTATTTCCCTGATCATTTTTACTGTTCAGTTTGTCTTTTCACCACTACTAGGCATTGTGCTGATGTTTTCACAGAACTGTCTCATGGCTCCAGGATCTTTCCTGAGCAGTTTCAGCTAATTTAATGCCCATCATTGTGTGAGTTTATAGTGTGAAATGTAGGACTGAGAGGGGTTTCTGAGCCATTGAATTCTCTTCTTGGCTCTTTCAGGTCCTGCACCATCCAGTCCCTTTCATAAACTGATTAAGTTCCTTTTGAAAATTACTTGGATTTTCCTGCCTTCGTGCTTCCTTGGGAAGCTATTCCAGACTCTCTCTGCTCCATTTCTCATTTCCATGTTAAATTTTCCATGTTAAATTGGTATTTCTTTGCAAGCCAATTTCTTTGTCCTTATTTAAGTTGTTCATTTCTTCCTGTGGGTATTCCATTCATTCCACCTAGCATACTTCATGCCTGCAGTCAGATTCCCTTTCAGACTTCCTTTGCTAGGCTCCTTTCTCTTCCAATCTGCTGTGGGAAGACAAGCTCCCCACCCCATTGTATTTGTTCCCATTTCAGTTCATCTTTCCCAAACAGGGGTCAGTAGAGTTGTAGTTGGTATTCCTGCCAAGGTCTTGTAGTACAATTGAAACCCTGCTAGTTTCTGCTGGAAATCCCTCTCTGGGGGTCATATTTGCGTTTTCATGGCTATGTTGCATTTGAACTTTTAGTCATCCCGTGGTTGGCTCAAGCTTTCCATCTGAGTTCCCACCTTTTCACTTCTCAGCAGTTCTCACCTGAGCAGCCATGACTGGGGCTGAGGAAGTGTTTTGGGGACTGTCCTTTGCTCTTGTCCCATTCTCTTCTCTGATCAGGCCTTTGCCATCTTCTCTTGCATCCACCACAGAGGGCCTTGCTGGCTCTTTTCACGTGTGTATGCTACTCTAGAAAATTTTTTTTTTCATGATGTACATGGACATCCTTACAGTGTCTAGTAGGATGGTTTTTCTCCTGGTGGAAGTGGTACTTGAAGGTTGAGGTGCAGTGCATCCCCAAGTGATATGCTTCTCCTTTAAGCTTCTGTGTCTAAGTGTTGGAGGAAGGGCAGTAGACCTAAAGAGGCTGTTCTTTGGAGGCTCAGAAACACCTCTCTGAGCTGCATGGAGTTCATGAGGATGGCTTTTCTGGTGTAGGGCTCAGGAGGGCACAGAGGTGTTGAAGCATGCGTGCTGCTTGTGTGCACACAATGTTTTCTTGTGGAGGTAGGACCTCCTCAGGCTGAGCAAAGTTCTGCTGCAGGAGTGGTGAGATCTGTTCTGGACAGAGCCCTTGCAGAGCTGGGAACAGTGGTGTGCGTCTGGCCTTTTAGGTATCTGGGACACTCTTGAGAGTCATTTGGCCCTGTGGGTCTGCTGGAGAAAGGGTGAATGAGGAAGGGAGGAACAAAGTTGTCTGCTAAGTTTACGGCCCTCAATTGTACAGCACGCAGCCTTTCAGATTTTCATGGCACTGTGTGCACCAAACATGAAATAAATGGGTTGTGTATCAAAGCAGGTGTTCTAAAGGCTTAGGAGCTACCGCTCCTTGTCTTTCCCGTTCTTCCTGTACAAGTGAGCATGCCGCAACCCAAGTAAAGAGACAACTGTCAGAGCAGTTTATGTCGAGGTATTGGTGCTGCTATATGGGAGGAATGCAGGAAGGCTGGCTGAACCTTGGTTTCACTGTCATGTTAGCCTGATAATTTTGAAACCTATTGTCAGGATGTGGGTTGCTGACCTCTGCCTGTGTCAGCCACCTGAAACAGGTTTCAGCCTCCCAGGCGGTAGTTCCTGGCAGGCTCCCCAGAAAGTCATGTTTGTGGTCCTGAGATCACACATCACTCCTTATCAAGTCCTCTGCCTGCTCGTCATGTTTCCTACCAGGACCCACTGCTCAGGGTTCTGGCAGCCCCTCCTGTCTGTGCGCTGCTCTTGTTCTTGGCTCAAGTATCTCAGCACTTACCAGCTGGCAGTGAGAAGGGCAGTGCTGCAAGAGAGCTACCATGTTTTTCTTTTCTCTGCATAGACAGTGCAGGTACCTGTCTACTCGGAGCAGGAGTACCAGATGTATCTCCATGATGATGCGTGGACCAAAGCTGAGACAGACCACCTCTTTGACCTGGCTCGGCGTTTTGATCTGCGCTTTGTGGTGATTCATGACCGTTATGATCACCAGCAGTTCAAGGTGAGTCCCAGGGGCCAAGGTGCTGCTAGCAACCTGCTGCTATGGCACGTGCAGGGCTTGCTGTGCTGCAAAGACCAAATTACCCTTTATATCAACTTAATTAGGGGAAAATAATGAATTATTGGCAGCAAGGAATATTGAATTTCCAGCACAGGGCATTGCTGCTTGCTTTGTTTGTGATTAAATCCACTGTGACTTGTGCTCATTCCCTGTTGTGTTTTATTAGAAAGTTAGGTTTGCCTCTGCCAGGAGAACAGCTCATTGTTCCTTGAAGATGAGGCAGCTGGGGAGTTTGTTTAGCTGAGCAGGCTAAGTGTCCTGGATTCCAGTCTAGGCCTGGGAGAAGCATCTGCTAACAGTCCCTGGGGATTGAGATTTTTCCCTGGTGCTGCTCCTGATTTGTGGTCTGACCTGGTGCAGGTTTCTGTCATCTCTGCTGTGAAGCAGGGACCATCAGTGATATGAAGATACAGCCCTGGTGTCATGATCGTAAATTTCCTGTAACTGCTGGTTCCGGTCACGCAGGGGAATGATGTGACTCCTACAGAACAGCTCCAAATGCTGGAGCTTTTTGTCGCCCTCTGAAATGCTCACGTGAAGAGCCTGTAGCAGAGTGAAATAATAAGACTCTGCCCAGCTGGGCAGCCCAAACACCTTTGGTGCTTGGAGTAGGGCAGTGCAGCTCAGACTCCACGTAATGAGGGGCAATGAATTACTGCAGCTGGTACTTTCTTGCTTATGGCTTGAATGGCCATTGTCTTGAGCAGCTCAGGCCTCCTGTGTGTTTGTCACAATTTTCTGTTCGCAGGTTTTTTCCTCTTGAGACGACTATTCTTGCATCCTTTTATATGGGAGGGCTTCGCTGCTGTATAGTCTCTAACCCTCAGCTGTATTGTTGGACCCTCTGATGGATGTTTTTAAAGCAGTGGCTGTGAACCCGTGACAGTTAATTCACACCGTTCACGGAGAAACTCCTTCTTCCCGGTGGTTCCACTGGGACTGGCAAGGCTCCCTGCTGATCTTCCTCCCAGGCACTGTGTTTTATACCCTGTCTGACATCCTTCAGCCAGTGGTCCTTAGCTGGCTATGCACAAGGTTTTGCTTGGTTCTTCTATAATGTTGTCCTTCTGTGATGTCTTCCACAGAAAAGATCAGTGGAGGACCTGAAGGAACGGTATTATCACATCTGTGCCAAGCTGGCTAATATTCGTGCAGCTCCGGGCACAGACCTGAAAATCCCAGTCTTCGATGCTGGCCATGAGAGGAGAAGGAAGGAACAACTGGAACGGCTGTACAATAGGACACCAGAGCAGGTAACGGGTAAAAGAGCATCACTGATCCAAAAGATTTATGATAAGTTGAACCAGTTGGTGGATGAAATAGGCCAGAGGGTGGGAAAGGGAAAGAAAGACTGGACAAGAAAAGAGCAACACATAAGTACTGCTTTTGGTTTTGAGTCTGTGTCATTTTTAAGGGGTACAAAAGGACAATAACTGACAAATTTGACTATACAGGAGAGAGGGCTAAGTGAGCAGAGTTATGGTCTCTGGTAACTGCCACCATCTTCCCTGTGACACTTACAGTACTAGTCCTCTGAAGAGAGCAAATCGTGAGATCAGTGTCCTTATGAGTCCCTGAGTCCCATGGGGAGAGAATTATTTCCTTGATAGTAAAAATCTTGCCAGAAAACATCAGACTGTAAATCTGCATGTTTAGTTCTCCTCTTTGTTGAAGCTGTGTAACAGTCCCGGGGTTTAGAGGTTAAGGAACTGTGCATTCCCCCAAGGCTGGGGGACAGCATCCTTTTCTGTTAGGAGTTCCCTCTAATGACAAGTTCATAAGTGTAATGACTCTGCTTGTCCTTCCCACTTTGGCAGGTGTGCTGATACTAGGCATAGCTGCTCTAGGTTCTATGTGCTCTGTCTGGGAAGGGGAGCCAGCTTTTCACAGCACTGCATTTGCAACTACAGTATATTTGGGCTTTTTTTATCTGTCTGTGCTCTTGGTCTCTGGAGGTCAGATTAATCATTTATGGGTGTTGCTGAAGGGTGCATCATGGATGTTGCGATACAGTACCTGCCAGTTTGTAGACTGGCATTGCCATGGGTGCAGGGTAAGGCTATGGAGCATAATGTGCTCTGCAAAGCCAAGATATTAGGCAGAGGAGCTTAAAGCCATTCCCAGACTGACCCGGAGCAGAGCTGTTATCAGTAGATGGCCCCCTTGCCTTGCTGGCCCTCCTCTGCTGCTCTTATTGCCTTTACGTGCTCTGGTCTGCAGGTGGCAGAAGAAGAATACCTCATCCAGGAGCTCCGCAAAATCGAAACCAGAAAGAAAGAGAGAGAAAAGAGAACCCAAGACCTGCAGAAGCTCATCACAGCTGCTGACACCACCACTGAGCAGAGACGTGCTGAGCGCAAGGCTCCCAAGAAGAAGCTGCCACAGAAGAAGGAGACAGAGAAGCCTGTAAACATTTCTCTCTTTTTTTCTTTTTTTTTTTTCTTTTCTTTTTTCTTTCTCCTGCTTATGGTCTGGCTGGGTAACGTGTTTCCTTCAGCAATCTTACTGGGATCAGGCCATCAGCTCTTTTTGGGAGGAGTAGCTGCTGGCTGCCTTCTGGTAGATGCTTTTTCAGTTACATCTTTTGGAAGGCAGATTGGTCTAAGGCAGCCATTGTCAGAGTCCTCTGGTGTGCTCTCTGTCTCTCTCCCATTTGAAAAATGCTGGTTTAAGTCCTGTTTCCCTTTCCTTTCCTGAGAAATGGGATGAAATTATTCCAGCCATTCATGGCAGGGAGAAGCATCTGTCCCCTGCTTCTCCCAAGTCTATTCTGTACTGCTGTTCAGGGTTGTTCCACAAACCCATTGTCTTTCACCCGCCTTCCTTTTCTAGTCCAGGTTTCCCTTTCCTTCCTCACTCCTGGGTCTCAGCAGCGTCTCCCCAAACTCTGTACATGCCCCTCTCCTGATCCTCAGCTGTGATCAGAGCAGCCCTGCTGGGGGACTCTTGTATTCTGGGAGCTATTGCTTCTTATTTCTCCCTGAACTGAGCAGAAGTCTAAGGAGCCTAGAACACAGGTTTCAGTTCACATTTGATGTTACCTCAATTTCCCTTTCTGGAAAGAGGACAGTGTGGACTGAACTAAATTCAACACCTTCAGTAGGAAAGGGCTGTTACAAAAATCTCAGATGTTTCCAGTGCATGCCTGGGAATTCCTGTCCCTCCACCTTGTGAACAGAGAGCGCTTGTGTCATTGTCGTCCAAAAGGGTCTATGCAGGGAGGGGAGAGAAGTAGTGAATGCTAGGCAGTTACTGCTTGATGAAGTGTGCCTAATAACCACCGCTTCCTTAAAACATTGTTTTGATTCCCCCCCGTCCCTCTGTGTAATTAATATAATATCACTGGGCACCTTGTACATTGAATTCCCTTGAGGGTTGATCTGGTAAAGCTCAGCCATGGCTGGCATATCTCCCTCTAAAGAAATCAGCTCCTTGTTGGTGATAAAGAAAAAAGGGTGGTGATGGAAAATGGGACTGGAAAGATGCTGAGGTTGCCAAGGTGAGGGAGTCCAGCCCTAAATATTGCCTGTTGGCTGGTGCCTGTCTGCAGGCACATAGTGCATAAGCGCACCAGGATGGGCACAGAAGCAGTTTCTGTTGTTGCACTAGCATCATTTCAACCATGACGGAGTCCATTAGGAGTCAATTACCAACTATAGCCGGGAAATGTTAAGAAAAAAATTGCATTTTAACTAAGAATTTGAATCGGGAGCTGCATCAGCATCATTTCAACAAAGGAAAATCATTTACCAAAGAGTCAATTGAGGTTGAAGCGTTTACAGCATGTACAGGCACGCAAGGCAAAAGAACCCATTTAATTGCTTATGCGCCGCGCGCAGTCAGAGTTGTCTCGGCTAAGCCAACAATGCTGATTTACCCTCCCTGCTTGTGTCAAGGTGTTCAGCAACAGGCTGGGGGGCAGAGTGTGGGGAGTCTGAAAGCCAGCCTTCATCCAAAGGAAGCAGAGAGGATTGGGGTTTGATTGCAGCCTTCTTTGTCTCTAATAATGCAAGCAGGGAGGCTACATCCTACTAAAGATCAAAGGGTTCCCTACAAGTTCATGAGCCCTGTTGGTAGTTATAAAATACTTTTTCTGTCATGGTCATGTTTAGAAATCTCTTCCTGGGGCCTCTGTTTAGTGGATCGACCACAGATAACTGAAAAAAATCTTAATGCCTGGCCATGCAGAGTGGTTTACAAGGTGCCACCTCAAGACCAAGACATAGAGGTAGCTGATAGAGATGTGAGAGTCATTGGCGGGGAACTTGAGGAACTGAGTCACTGTCCTTCAGCATCTCTTACAATCTTGGGGCAGCCCTGGGTTGTTTCAGCTGTGTCTGGAACGAACAAAGAGCAAGCTGCAGAGCCTCTGCAGAGAAGTATGGGAGCGGCAAGGCGAACACCGTCTCCAAAGAAATCGGGAGATTTGTGGTGACTCTTCCTTTTGGAGAAGCATCACTGAGCATGTGTTTGCAGAGATTGTGGCTATTCTTAGATTTGAGTCGTGAGTGTCGCTGACCCATTCAGGGGACCCCACACCGTTCGGGGCACAGGGCCCTGCAGATAGCCTAGTTTAATCATTTAAAAGTTTGCTCACCTTGTGCTTTGCTCAACAGCACAGATTTTTAAGGGAGTGCATTTTTTTTTCCATTTTGTTGAAATGCAGCTAAATGCTATACTGTCTAGCATCAGCATTAGAAGTTTGCCACCTTGTATTACTATGCTTAAAATGTGAAGTGGGGAAGAAAGAAAACTGTCTAATGAGTGGATAAATGGCAAAACGTGTATAAACAGCAGGCTTTCCTGGAGGGGTGCAGTCCTTACATCCTCATTAGTGGGCTCATGTCTCTACAGATCAGAGGTTTCTCAGCTCATTCCTTAGAGGACTTGCAGTCAGAAGCCAAGATTTAGGGAAGTCCTGGGCTGTTTTGATCAGTGAAATGGACCTGAGTTAGATAAGGATGATATTGTGCAAATATGCCTATGTTCATATAAGGAGTACCATTTAGGGTTAGGGTTTAAGCTTGCGTGGATGGGTGTAAGGCTCTGTGTAGAGCAGTGCATTTAAACCAACCAAACAGAAATGCTTGAACTCCCCAATGATACCTTGAGCTGCAGTATTTTTCTCAATGAATTGCTTGGGATTTTCCCACTGAATCCCATTGCTTGAGATTTTCCTCTTGCCTCAGCAATGACATGTGGCCATGGCAGGTGGTTCTCTGTCATAGGAAGCAGTGTTTCCCCCTTCAGATAGTCTCTATATGAAATCTTGTGTTTCCTCCATCAACACATCCTGTTTCGATCTCTTTCAGGCTGTTCCCGAGACTGCTGGCATCAAGTTTCCTGACTTCAAATCTGCAGGTGTCACGCTGCGAAGCCAGAGGGTAGGCTGTTGTCCTGGTCCCTTGGGACTTCTGTTAATGTCTTTCAGTCTGCCTGTCTGTCTCCTCATCTGTTCTCCTTTTATAGCTAAAGAAAGTCAAGTTCTTGCCTCTAAAATAAGAAAGGAATTCCATAAATGTGGAGACTCAGAAACCTGGAATGCTGGCTCTGTGAAAGCCAGCTCATCGCCTTGCAGGGGCACCTGAACTGGCTGGTGTTTGTTACTGGTGTGTGCCTGTTCTTCTGTTAGACACACGTGACAGACCCAAATGGAGCTCTCTAGTCCAAACAGAGCTCGCAGCCAAATGTAATAGGCCTCAGAGAGCACATGTGTTAGCAGATGAGAGTTGCTTTTAAGAACCAATGTTCAGGTTGTGACTTGGAAAAAGAGAAATACATAAATGCATACAATTTTTAGCCTTCCTATTTCCATTATCTTCAGAAAATATTTTGGGAAAAGGCCTTTTGTTCATTCTATTGCACAGATATCCCTGAGAAAAGAGCTTTCTTGCTGTTTTATCAGCGAGGCTTGACACCTGTCTCTTAGTGACAGGTTTTGGGATATCAAGTAAGTTAAACCTGCCTGGCCGACTGAATGTTTTCAGGGGAGTTTTGATAGAAAAATCCTGTTTGCCCAGTACAAGTGCTTCCCCCCCCCCCCAGCCAAATAAAATAATCCTTAGTTGCTTTATTGTAGCAAAGGTAGAGAAGTAGGTTCCCTGCACCACACCCTCCCTTGGCATAGTAATTTTCTAGGTTAAAAGACTGTTTTATGGGATTTTTTTCTGATGTCAGAATAGTTTCAGATCTTCCTGGGAACACCCCAGGGCTGTTAATGGAAATGTGTTTGAGATCTTGCTGCTTCAACATATGGGTGCATGTATACATTAGAGGCAGTATGCCTTGGCAGGGTCACTGCTGGGGGACCCCTTTTGTGTAGGAGTGCTACCATCTGCAGGCTACCTGTTTGAATGAGGGGCTGCAGCCTTGAGGAAGTCAAAAAACTCAGCAAGTGACAGGCAAGACTGCAGTGCACGCGTTGAGATTTATGGAGACGTGGCAGATGTGTTCTCCGGCGCTAAGATAAATAGAGTAATTTATGGAGATTGATTTGGATTTCGAAAACTAATAAGTGATGGTTGATCTTTCCTATTTTTTTTTACCCCCCTGGAAGAGAAGCTGAGCAATAACCTGTCAGTGATGGAACCATCTGGCAAAGCCACCAGCCTTTTCATGTGCCAAACAGGCAATTCAAATTGCAGCTTTTGTGAAGATGGGTGCTACATGCTTCTCCCTGTTCTCTTTAATGCTCACAAAATGCAGTGATAAGCTGAGGCATGGCAGTCTGATTCAGCAACTTTCAGCCTGCAGTATCTGCCCTCCTGAGATGACCTAGAGCAACTTCCTATGCTCTGCTTGAAGTTTTTAAGGAGAGAAATACTGTTATTAGAAGTACCGGTGGTTTGCAGATTGAAAAAGATTGCAAATCACTGATCTAGGTAAAAAAACAACACTTTGTTGCTTGGAAATGTGAAACCTGCCTCCAACCCAGCAAAATTAATTCATTTGTGGTTTTTAGTCAGTCACTTGGCTTCCTTATTGAAGTCTTCCCTGGTTTGAAAATGGGAGCTAATAGACTTACTTGCTTCACATATAGGTGATGGGGAGAATTAATTACATGAGGTCAGTACAGGCTTTTTGAACTGGTGAGAGATGCTGGAGTGCTAAGTGGTATAGAGTTGACAATCCATGCTAATCCAAATTATTTTACTTGTGGGATTTGCATGGCAAACTCTCTACATGCCAGTGGTGTGGAATCGGTAAGGATGGGAGCCGGACAGGACTAAGTGAGAAATTGGCATACTGTGCTGGAAACTTGTACTCTGGCAACATCCAGTGTAAGATGTTTTGCCCTGAGCACATTGGAAAATGATTTCTAAATGCTTGTGGCATCCTGCAGTAAGTTCTTTTGTCTGAGGACCTAAAGGGTTCCTCACCTAAAGGCTTCTATTGTCCTCTTTTATTTTGTACTTTGCTACCGCACTTTACACCTTCGTACTTAGGCAAAGTTGGATTTTGCGCTGAGATCAGGGTCTCAACCTCTGTCACGTGTGAAAAATGTACCATATCATCCTCAGGATAATAGCACTTACTCTTTGATTAGAGATATTTTTTTTTTTTCTCCTGAAGATTTACAATTAGTCTGAAAACTTGAGTTAAAATTAATTTATAGAAATGAGTCCTTGAAGAAGAAGTTAGCAATCTGTATTCAACTTAATTTGTTCCCAGTAGTTGTTATGACAATAGCCCTGGCTTTTCAAATTTCCCCTGTCGTTAAAGCTTACACAATCTTATGCACAGGCTGAATTTGAAGACTTTTTTTTCTCCCCTAGGATTAATGGTCACTTACAGCCATTATTCTTCATAACCGAAAGTTTCTCCTTCAGCAGACGCTGAAGAGTAATCTTCTCCAGTGAGTTCGACAAGCTGCCTTCTATCACAATGGCTTCAGTCTCCCATTGTTCTCCATGGGCTGTGGCCGCAGGCAAAGAAGGCCACAGCCCTCGTGCCCTTGCTCTGCATGGAATTTCCCCTCTGCCTCCCGACAGCACAGACTGCAAGTTTCTCTAAGGCAGTAGAAAGCTGGGCATTATGAAAAGCTTCCTCTTAATTCAAGACAGTGTATTGCCTTGGTGCCACTGAGAACAGGATGCAGTAGCAGATGTTTTGGAAGGGGGTAAGCCTTTCATGAGTTTCTTGAAAAGGAATTTTAGACTTTTTCCCTTTGCTGTTGGTAAAACAGTGTTATGACAGTAACACCAGAATGTATTATTAATCCGAAGTGTCACTTCGAGAAAACTTCCTGTTATACCAGGTCTGCTCAGCTGGGAGGACAGCCAGCCAAAGATCCAGAGGAAACGAGAGATGGGTGTGGAATTTGTGCAGGGAAAGGAGAGGAAAGGACTAAAGGGAAAGCAGGGAGCTATGAGGAAGGAAAGCTTTACTGAGGACCTGCCTGAAGGAAAGGAAAATGGGAGCTGTTGAACTTAAATCTTTTCCAGGACCCAGACAAACCAATAATAACTGCACGTTTGTGATCTAGGCATCGTGTTGGTTCTGTAGTACAGAGCTGAGCTTGTTTTAAATTCACTGCAGTGTGTCTGTACCATGTCATGTTCAGCTTTCTTTTAAGTTTAACCTTTGTCTTTGACTTCATTGTGTTCAGAGCACTTGACTTTGGCATACTTAACATCTCTTCAGTGTGTTTAAGTTGCTCATCTTCTGTCTCAGCCTTATCTGCGAATTGTAAGTTATGATTTTGTTAATGCTGTTGAATTGCAGCAGCAGTGCTTTTAAGAAGGAAGGTGATAGATGGAAAAAGGTGGATGTTTGTCCCCGCTCCTGCATGTGGAGGTATAAGTCTGTGTCCTTGCTCTGTTGTCATGGGTTTGGAAACAAAGGAACTGGAAGAGAATCGATTGAGTGATGTCTCATCTGGTAACAAAACAAAACTCCAGGATGAAAAGGAGTTTGTGGAGATCTCAGTCCGCAGAAAGGACTTGAAGGATGCTCCAGCTCAGTCATTCAGAGCCGGCCGCCTCCCCTCAGAAAAGGCTTCCAGCCAGCAGCCCGACTCCATCTGCTAACTGGGATCTTGTAGACAGTTTGCCAGTTGGACCAATTAAAAAAGCAGAGGAAGGAAAAATACAAGTATAGCTTTAGTACCCATTGGTTTAAATATTCACACTCGCCAGCTTTTAAATATTTACTAGCCTGCTGAGCATTTTTTTAGCACTGATTAATGAGTAAGAATTTACTGTGGTTGTGGGGGGAATGTGTGTGTGTGAGTTCTTCCCTTTTTTTTTTTTTTCCTTGGAGTGGGAACTGAGTGCTTACTACAGCTCCAAGGTGAATGATACTTCTAGAGGAAGATGGGGTTGTACGTATGTGTTTAGACATGTTTATTCTCCATATTTGATCTGACCCTCAATTAAATGGCCAAGCACGCCGCCTGTTTACTCTGCATCAGAGGCTGTTGGCTCTGTTCCTTCCCTGTCATTAATGCAAACCCAGACCTCATTGGCTTGAATGTGTGAAACATCTGTCTGTCCTCCTGTGATCAATACTGTCCCTTCAGAGGTTCAGCTTTGGAAGCAGTTCCATAAAATATCAGTTATTTTTATTTGGATTTGATAAATTTAATTACTTGGAGCAATTAATAATTTATTTGCTTTGTATTGATTGCACTCCAAGGCATCCTGGCATCAATCTGATGGAGATCAGTGCACCCTTATTAGGGAGGAAAGTTTATGTTTCCAGATCTGAACATCCCATGGATTAGTTAGCTGAGATGTGCTTGTTGCTTCTGCTAGCAGTTTTTCATTAGCAGAGTTGTATGTTTTGCACTTGACAAGAGAGTGGGTGAGAGTAATTTCCATGGGGAGCCTGACAGAGTTGTGGAAGGAAAGTAGTAGTCTCATTTCTGTGAATGAAAGTTATGAACAAATGATGCAGGCTGGATTGAATTCATGTGGCATTGTCATCTTTTTGTTGTATTACCTACCCTTTAATTAGGGCCGAGTGCTGGTGCATTTCCTAATCAAACTCCTGCTTGTAAAGACTGAAATAAGACGAAAATATGGGAGTATTCATTTTTAAAGAGAACAGCGAAGGATACAAAATCTTGAATGAGCTAGAGAAGGTGAATCCAACACTTCATTTCCTCCATTCTCATTCTTAGCTAAACTGAAAGGCAGTCAATGTTAAAATGCTGAAAGAAAATGCATCCGTCACCTTTTTTGCAGAGCTCTTTGGTGTGGGAGAGCATCTGGACTAAAGCCTTAGTAGGGTCTCAGGTATAAAGGAGCACTCTGGGTACAGTAATAGGGTCTTTTAAAGTAAGTTGTAGTTCTGGAAAGGACACTCTGTGTTGCTGCTTCTGTTGAATCGTCTGGTACCAAATAGTGTCTGTGCAGTACAAGGCCTCGGGGACCTTTGTCTG